CTCTGGTTGTGAGGGCTGTTTACAACCCATCCCAAGCCCATGTATTTCTAAGAAATGAGTATACAGTGGCCACAGAAGAAAATGCCAGCAGGGACCAGGCAGAGGCATGAAGAGTGAGCTGAAACAGACACAGTAAAGATAAACATAGACAGAGAGGGAAAGCAGGCCACCACCTTGGCATGCAGCACACAAGCCCAAAGAAGATGTTAAAATTCCCAAGAGAGTCATAAAGCTGGATTTTGGTGTGAATTTCTCAACTACTCTATATGAGCTTGTCTTGCTAAAGCATTAAGTGGGTCAAGCAAGACTCATCACCAAGAGGCAGGTAGCCAGATGTAGTTGGGAATCTCTGCATGACTTTTAAGTTGGTTTTACATGAATACTCCCATACACAATCCTTCTTGTTTGATTTTTAAATTTTGAGATAATTATAGATTTTTGTAAAATATAAGAAATAGTACAAATAGAATCCATGTGCCTGATACGTAGCATCCTGGAATGATTATAACTGGAAAAACAACTGTATAATATCACAACCAGAAATTATTTTTTAAAAATGTATCTTTATATTACCTTCAATATAAAAGTAATTACCACACAGACAAGCAGGCAGACAGACAGACATACAGACAGATAGACAGACAGACAGACAGACAGATGATAGATCTTCTGACTTGCCTAGTTGAATGATAGCATATTTAACAATACAAACCTTTTCTTTCCCAGTTTAATTTTTTAGCCACATACCAACTGGGTATCAACCCACAAAAGTATGTATGTGTTGTATATATGTATGCATGCATTTATCTATGTATGTATGTGTGTGTATGTATGTGTGTGTGTAATGTGTCTCTCTCTGTGTGTATTCTGCATATTCACCATGTTTCTTGATAGCTGCTTGGTATTCCTCCTTATTAGTGTAGGTTTTTTTTCCCCAAGTGTGCTTGTCTCAATGACATTAACTTTTTTTTTTAGCTACTTACTCTTAAACATAATTCTGTGAAAAGCATGTTAGGAACGTGCCTTTTTAAAATTTGCCACTGTGCCTTACAGATAGATCCTTACAAGTAGGTTACTGCCTTCAAGACACCATGCTATACCATCACAACATAGTGGGCTGTTCTCCCTCTTGCCAAGAGCATGCTGCTAACATTTGGATGTTTTTCAAATGCAAGTGGTGAAAAATAGTAACTCAGTTTGGTGTAAATTTGAATTTCTCTATTTGTTTAGATTTGAGCCTCTTTTCAAATCGACAGGCACCATTTTCATCTGACTTTCTGTGAATCACTTCTAGCCCAGTGTTCCGAGTCACTGGTCTCCTCTCTGCTTCTCCTTCCTTACACACTAGGAAAGTTAAATCTCTCTGTATTATAGAGTGTGAGAATTTTATTCCCCCAAGTTGTCACCTTCCCTCTTACATACTTCACAGTATATCCTTTACCATATGATTTTTAAAGTGATCAAATGAATTCATATTATTCCTTGTTGTGGCTGAAATTTGACCCTTTAGGAAGGCTTTCCCGAGCTTCGTCATACTGATGCTGGTCCGTTTTTCTTCTAGTATTCATACAGTTTCATCATTTGTTATGGTTTGGATGTGAAATGTTTCCCATGGGTTAACGTGTTTGAACACTTGGTTTCTGGCTGGTGATGTTGTATCAGAGTCAGAACCTTTCCAAATGGGGTCATGCTGGAGGAAATGGGTCTCCTGCTTCTGGCAGTTTCCTCTCTCTGCAACCTCAGGCGACTGTTACCATCCCTCCCTTACCATGGTGGCCAAAATAAGTTTTCCTTGCCTTAAGTTGCTACTTGTCAGGTATTTGGTCACAGTTATGACAAAATAAATTCACTTTTAACTTCTAAATTCAACCAGAAGTATATTAACAAACCGATCCAATTAGTACCATTTTCCCATGTGTTTATCTAGTACCGTTCTCAATTATCTGAGAAACTATCTTTGCTGTCACTAGATTCACACCCAGCTAAAGTCCACTGTGCATTTTCTAGTCCCTCCCATTGGCCTGTTTTCCAAGTGTTTAGCTATAATCACTTCGTAGAACATAGGGCTGTCAGATAGTCTAGTCTGTACTTGTTTGCTTCTTTTCTTCTGCAGTGCTTCCCCAACTCATACAGACTACATAGCTTTACACATGATCAGCATGCATACATTTTCCCTAGAGGCAGCAAAAGCAGAATTTTATTTCTGAGGTTCTGTGTTAAATCTGTATCCTAAGAGACACGGCCATGTTCTAAGACTGTTATTCTCAAAGCTCACAGTATGGTACACCTGCTTTCCCTCTTCAAGGATGTTCATGTCATATACTGGAAGAGACATACTGCCCCAGACATAGGTTGTGGGTATCACAGTGCATTGGTGTGCTGATATTTTCTCTTATGCTGTTAATATCATACATAGAGTCTGTATTAGTTACTTCTTTGCTGCTGTGACAAAACATCATGATCAAGGCAACTTGCAGAAGCAAAACTTGATTTTAGTGTATGTTTCCAGGGGTTTGGAGTCCATAATGGCAGGGCAGAGGCAGCAGGTGGATATAGGCTGGAGGGGGATCCTGAAAGATCACATCTTGAACGACAGCACAGAATGGAAAGTGTCAAATGCATGTAGGAAGCCTTATGCTCTCAAAAGAAGCATCCAACTGCCTAAACCTGTGGGGGGCACGTCTCATTTAAGCCATAGCCCAGTCTTCTCCTTTATTCATTGTCCGGGTTGGTTTTGTTTGCACATATGTTGGCAATCAGTTTCCAGACATTGTCTGACTTGCCAGCTAATGAAATTCCAAGGACTGGAGCTGCTTCCATTCATTCTGCCATGGGCTAGAGATAGGAAAGGAGATGGGTTGACCCCCTTATTTCATACATTTGTTAAATGTATGACTACATTTTAACATCTTTGTCAGTTAATCTCACTGGCAAGCACACTAAGTATAGCACTGAAGAGTGACAGAAATGATAACCATTTTTGTCTCATTCCTGACTATTATGGATTGGCCTATTGTTTGTTCTTGTTTTCTGGCTTTTGAGCTGTATAAATAAAGACAGTACAACACAGTTCCTATTTTATTGCTTCTAGAAGACCTGGTGTTGAACGTGGTCTAGTCTCTTTACTACTTCTGTGTTGACCATACAATTCCTCCCAAACCCCCCCTTAGCTCTATAAAATTAACAAATTAAGTTACTTCATTTTCTAATACTCCTAAAATGAAATCTTTTGAACAATTAAAAGTGTTCCATTGGATACAAGCTGGCATGGTGCTAAAAATCTTTAATCCCAGCACTGTGGGGGCAGAGGCACATAGATTTCTGTGAGTTGAAGGGTAACCTGGTCCACAACATGAATTCTAAGCCAGGCCAGCCAAGACTACATCATAAGAGCCTGTCTCAAAAACAAACAAACAAACAAACAAAAATATGTTCTACTGGAGTCTATTTATTAAATTTCTGTAATGCTCAGTAGTTATAACTGAGATGGCCTTCACTTTTCCTGAACTCTATATCCTATGGGGGATAGAGGATAATTTTGATAAAGATATTCTTGTATCTGTTACTTTTTTGTTTTTGTGATAAAATATTATGACCAAGAGCAACTAAAGCAAAATTATTTTGGCTTACTGTCCACCACCTGGGGACCAAGTTTTCAAATGCATGAGCCTAAGGGACATTTCTCACTCAAAACAACACGGCTGTTTTCTCTACTTTTGGAACAGTTTTAATATTCCTACTATTATGTAGTCTTTAAAAGGTTTGACAGAAAGTTTGTGTTGGGAACATGGAACTTTAGTACTCAAGTGGCAGAAGCAGGAGGACTTAAGCTTGAGGCCAGGAAGGGCACACAGCAAGACCTTGTCTCAGAAAATGAGACAAAAGCGTTACCGTGTTGCTCAGCTGAGGTACAGGATCTGCTCTCCTGAGTGTTGCAGCCTTTGCGGGTCTGGATCAGCTGTCCTGCTCTCATAACCACAGGGTCCACTTTCCTTCTCCCGACTGCAGCAGGCGGTGAGTGGCAAGGGTAGGGAGTGCATCAGCTCCACACCCTCGCCACCTCACAGCAGATGAATGGGGCCAGCCCTCCCAATCTCTCTCCCTGAAGGTGGCTCACCTGCGACGCCACCAACAGGGTCTGCTCTGCTGCGCTGTTCAGGCAGGGTGTCCCTCTTCTCCCGTGCTGCAGCTAGTCAGGGGCAGAGCTAGCTCTCACACAGTCATGCCCCCATAGGAAGCTTTCCCGACTTCCTGAGGTGGTAAGGGGCTGAGGTGGGAGGTATTACCTCGGTGCCCGTGCCACCCCTTGGCAGAAGAGTGGCAGAGTCAGATCTCCGATGCTCACACTCTCGGGGCTAGCTTACCCATACTCCCACTACCAGGGTCAGCTCTACTGTACTTCCTGGGTAAGGAGCAGGGCCCTGCTATGTTGCTGCCAGGTGGGAGGTGGGGCCAGCTCACCTGAATGCTGCAGCTGGTAAGAGGTAAGGTAAGTTCTGCGCAGCCCCTGGACAGCCATGTGATCCCCGGAGACTTCCCCAACCAGAGGCACTCCCATGTTCTCTGGTGAGCCACAGACATCAGACCCTGACCCTGACCCCTGCCTGCATAGCCATGGATCCAGACATGGGCCTCTGCAGCAGCTCAGGCTGAGACCTCACCACGGTCCCAGCTGGCAGAGCTAGCCACTCACAACAGGCTACTCCTCTTTACCCTCGATTCTCCAGTTCCATCTCTTCACAATGCTCAAGCTGCTCCACTTCTTTCTCTCCCGTCTGACTACTATACACGTGCACACTGTAGTGGCTCCCGCTGCAGGCTAGACACACATTTGGTGGGTCCTTGCGGTGCGGTGGGGTGGTAGTATATGTGTCTATGGCTCCTGGGATGTAGGGCAGGGCTGTGGACATCTTTCCCCTCGAGCACCACATGGCATGGCTGAACTCGGTCTGTCTTCCGCCTCCTGAGCTGTCCTGCGTGCGTTTAGTTTGATTTGATTTTTATGTGTCCTAGGCGTAAAACAGCTTTGGCTACCAAGCTAGGCATCAAGCTAGGATGAACAAAGGACTGCCATCTGCTCTGTCCCCGACTGATATAAGAACACCACCACTAACAAGGAGTCTCTTTACCTATTACCAGGAGGTGCAAAGTAGTTCCATCAATTCTTTAAATTTTCATTTTAATATTGTTTTTCTCCTTGACAGTACAGTTTGGTAGATTTATGTTTTTTCCTTTTTATCTGAAATAGATAACAATTTCTTTTTGTTTTCTCTGGAAATAAGAATTTAGAAATATATATTCAGTTTATCAGAACTATAATAAATACAATATAAAGCTGTTCGGGAAACTGCCAGACTTTAGGAGGTAGGGCCTTGCTGTAGGAAGTGGGTCCTGTAGGGTGAGTCTTGGGGATCATAGCCTGCTTCTGGCCATTCCTCTCTCTGCTTCTTGGCCTGCAGAGATATGAGCAACCCCAGGCTCTGGTCACCACACTGTCAACCCAATAGCTTTCCTACCATCTTGGAATGTGCTCTGAAAACAGAGTCAAAATAAATCCTTCCTGCCTTAAGTTGCCAATGATGTATCTAAGGATGACATTAAAGTCTTCATGCTCCTGCATCTGCCTCCCAAACGCTAGGATTACAATGCTAGGCTCAAATGCTAGGGTATTTTACTATGCTGGAGATCAAACCCAGGGCTTTACCTGGGCTAGAAAAGCACTCTACTAATGGAACTATACTCTAGCCCAATGGCCTTATTTTTATGTTAGATTTTGGATCCACCTGGGACTCTTCTTATATGTCTGTTACAAATATAATTTTATCTTTTCCAAATGCACAGCCAGTTGTCCCAGAATCATTTATGTAAAAGTTTATTTTTTTCCTCTGCTAACTTTAGTTCTACATGTATAATCTGCCCTTGGTTTACCTGAAGTCTATTTCTTGACATTTTAATCCATCCCATTCATCCTCACGTTTCAGTTCATTTCAGAGGTTTTATGAAGTGTTTCAAAGTATTGTAGGGCTACTTTGGGGGCACAGCTATTCTTCTTATTGTTTTTCTGGCCATTTATTTTCCCATATAAACTTTAATATCAGTATATCTAATTTTAATTCTTCTCACAAAAGCTTGTGGAAAAAGAAAAAAACATAGTTAGGTCATAGGCTCTAGGGGAGAACTAAATATTATTATTTTGCTAAATTGACATGGTAATACATTTACCTCCTTAATTCTTGTAGATTAGTGGAACCTTCAGTGCACGTCAGAAAAGCTTCTTTTTCCAGTAGATGACTCACAACTGGTCAATATGAAGGGGAGAAAAGGCTGTAGAGTGCTCAGCTCTGAAGGAAACCTCTGTATCACAGCCCCACCCTCACCCCCAAATGCCCATAGGTCATCTCAGAAGATGGGATACAGTGAGCCAGACATCTACAGTAGAACAGTATTTGCTGGATATGACAGAGCCCTTGGATACATCAACTTATAGTGGCTCTGACTACATACATAAGACCTGCACAGGATCAAGTCAGCTTGATCAGGGAGGTGCTAAGGAAGTCACACAATTGCCTGCATATCTAACAGCAATTGGGAGCTGCTGGAAGAAAAAGATTCCGTTTTCTTCAGAAATGCAGCCCTTGAGATTAGATGGTCCAACAGCCATATACATATGCATGCATGCAAACACACACACACACACGCACGCACACACACACATGCTTGTGCTAAGTGGACCAGGTGGACTCCCCAGGGGCTTAATAAAAGACACATGAAGTTTGGAAGGAAAGGTGTTGGGAATGATAGAGAAGAGATTGGAGAAGAGTTGCAGAGTTGTATTTGATCAGATCATGTCATATGAACACATGAAATTCTCAAACAATAAAAAAAATCATTAAAAATACTGTGCCACCCAATGAAGCAATTTTACGATTGTCAGTTCTGACAGCCCTCGTTATCCACCCTTTCATAACATAGGCTTACTAATGTGCTAGATGTTCCTATGTAGTGTTATACCTAAGATGACAGAACACTTACATGTAATCAAAGGCTTTCAAAAAAACGGCGGGCCTCCACCAATAGTTCCTAACCAGATAAAAGTAAAAGCGTGAAAGGGGTCAGCTTGGTCCAGTGGTGTCCGCTAAGTGACTTTGTTGGTTCTTGTGACCTCCCGTGGGCTATTATCCTTATGTTGGGTTTGTTTTGTCCAATTCGGATATGCTAGTTTTTGTTTTATCTTATTTTGTTTTATTACTATCTCACAGACAACTATTTTCTAATGAGAGACAGAAAGGGAGTGGATCCAGATGTGAGGCATGGTGGGAAGAACTGGGAGGGGTAGAGGCAGGGAAAACTGCAATCAGCATATATTATGTGAGGAAAAAAAATCCATTTTCAAAAAAGCTGAAAATAAAAGTAGTTCCCCAACTGAAGCAACGTTAGGTTTCCATTCTTTGGTCTTCATCGGCAGAAGTGTCCCCTCTATATTCCAAAGGAACTCAGACTGTTCGAAGTCATAGGATTTTTTTTTTCTGTTAATATTAAGACACAGTCTTGTCATGTATCCCACACTAGCCTGCACCTCACAGGCCTTCTGCCTCAGCTTGCCAGGTGCTGGGATTGTAGGTATGGACCACCAAGGCTGGCCCTGGGATCCCTGGAAGCTTTGTAGAAATGGTGCCATGTACAAGATGCAAAACTATGTTGTCTCATGAAAACAGAGGTGACCAAAAGTACAGTAACACATCCAGGAAAGAGCCAGGGTCAGAGAAGGAACCCGCAGGTCCTTTTCACAACATCAAGTGGGGCTTAGTCGGGAGTCACTGCAAATTAGCATAACTGCATCACTTCATTGTCAAGTTACTCTTTGAAAGTTCAGACACATGTTCTAATTAAGAAGAATGTATTCCCCTGAGGAAGAAAATTAACTAATAAAAGCAAGAGGAGCTTGATTAATTTATGAGAAAGGCTATAGACCAATCAGTTCATTACAATGGTGCTAAATAAAACTCCCAGGACCATATTTTCCAAAGAACAAAACCTCCTTCCTGCTCTAAAAGCTGCACAGTTATGCCATGTTGATCTCCTAGGATGATGGGAATGATGGGGTCACAAGCTCAGACCTAAAGAACCGAATCAAAAGACAATATCAGACTTTGGGGAAATGTGAAGAAAGCCGACATGTAAAATAGGAAATGCTCATCACAAGACACAATCTATCCAACTGCAACGATCTGAGTCTTTGGTTGGAGAGGAGATAGGGATGGGCAGGAAACTTTCTTCAAGTAAAAAATAAAATTGACTGTTACTGAGACTAAAGAGACAAAATCCATAGGACTTGGCTGAAAAAAAAAATGCATTCTGGACTGGAGAGATGGCCAATAGTTAAGAGTACTTAGGGCTTTTGTAAAGGATCCAAGTTCAATCCCCAGTAACCCCATGGAACAGTCTGCAACTACAGCTCCAGGGATCTGCAGATGCAGGGACCCTCCTCCAGCTTCTAATGGCTCCTTCACTCTCCTGCAGAAACCCATACATAATTAAAAATAGAATAGATTAAAATATTTAGAAATGAATATCCTAAATATATTTTCTGAGAAGGCGTTTGTAAAGTGAGGTAAACTGGATATTTAGTGGCTTGAGCTCCAGTTTGCATTGTTTTTGAACTATCTGAGTTTGGAACTTCCTTTCATCTCCTTGAGCTGAGTCTCCTAAAGCTATTACTCCATGAATTAAAAGCTTAATATTTGAAACTGCAGTTATCTTGCCATCTGCTCTTCTGATGTGCTACTCCTAGGCCTAAGGAAATAGAATTCAGATCCATTGGAAGTAAGACAATTTTCTTCTCACTCAGAGACAACTGTCTGTACAGGGAAGAGCCAGTTTTATCAACAGAAAGTTCATAAAGGAATCCCAGTTCGCAGCAACACTGTCATGGGACGAATCTTGGCAGCTGAGTTGCAGTCCATCTTTGTTTTTTTCTCCTGGTGTCTCAGGTTAGTTGCTCACCTCAGTCTTTTTCCAGAAGTGGCAGGATTTCACATTTAATTCACACTATTTGCAAACATCCTGGCATCTGAGGTGAAGCATTGGATAGGGTTAGGCTGTGAGCACACCGTGTCCACAGTTCACATTCACAGACCTGCTTGTGGATTTAACGTTTGATTGCCTGCCACCAAAGATTGGAGACATGCACACTCTTTAAGTCTGAACCCAGCCCATCCCTCTTTCTTTTCAAATAAAAATCTAAGTCCATGCTGGTGTCAGTGTTGAGATTTGTTGAAATATCTTTGGGTTTGCTTGGGTGGGCAGCTTGTTTTTGTCTCCTAAGAAGAAAAGTTCCCCTGGGAGGCCCAGTGTCTTTGCTCTCTGTCTTCCTCTCTTACTATTTCTCTGTCTCCATCTTAGACTAATTCCTATTGCAGCCACTAAAGCTTCACTTCAATTTCCAGGCTTTGAAACCACAGCTTAGTCTGTGTCCCCTGCGAGTCATGTAATAAAAGTATTTGGAACAGTGTTTGAACATACACACAAAACAAAAACTTCTCTACAAAGAAGGGACAGTGGCTAAGCTACCCTGTAAAGACATGAGGCTGGGAGACATAGCATTGACAGCAAATGAAACTTAGGTTCCCTCGGCACAGTAACTTTCTGGATAAGCAGGGGCCTCCTACACACTTCTCCCACTAGAGTACAGGCAGGGGAACCAGAGGCATCTTGGGCTCCTCTTTTGTTCCATGGATGCCCACAGCTTTGTTTAGAGAGCCTCTGAGGCATTAATATGTATTATTATTATTATTATTTTTACTTCTGCAGTTCAACTGCAGACACCTGAGGGTCTCAGGGCAGACTGAATCTGACTACTGACTTCAAAAAGAATGATTCTTCCTATGGCACTTGGCCACAAATCTGCTAGAAGCACAATATACATTTTTCTCAAACAAGCCGGTAGGAAGCTGCCCTGGATAAATGATACTGATGTTCTCTGCATGGCTCTAGGACATAAGCCCTGTAACTTGGCAGCTTTGTTCTGTTCAATACTCATGGCGGGTAGACTTTCAGGTAGCTTTCAAAGACCTCTCCCTCCCCAATACGTAAAGAATAGAAATAGGTCACAGGATGACACTTCCATGATTGGACTAAGTAAGA